AATTAAGTTCAAGGACAACCAAGACAATTTAGAGCCTGTCTAGAAAGGTAAAAGGAGAGCTGAGTGTGCAGATCAGTGGTAGGGTACTTCCTTAAGATGTGGAGGGCCCCAGCTCCACCCCTTCCTGGTCACAGGGAAAGACATATGATTTTGCAGGGATCCTCGGAGCCTCTGTAGACTGGCATTCATTAAATGCTGGTTCCCACAGACACACCAGCGGCACTCCCCCATGCCCTCTTGCTGCCCTGTAGCCACACTCCCCTCTATCCCCTCTCTTTTAAGATACTCTATGAGTCCTGCCAGCCAGGCCTTCCTCGATCCCTCAATCCAAGGCCCTGAGTATCTCGTTTCCACTTGCTCTTTTTAATGAGCCTGTCTGCCACCTTTTCTGGGCCACTTTGCTTACTCTATGAGTATACACTAGGGGTCTCCTGTGTCTCTGAAAAAGTGAATGAAGAAGGAAGCTATAAAAAGAAGGCATACAATGAAAACATACATACAAGCAAGCACTGGATATGACAACTGTCATTTACAGCCCAGTGAACATATTTTATAAATCCATTACCTGAACTGACTCATTTAACCCTCACAAAGCTCCTTGGAGACAGACCATCCCTGTCTTACTGAGATGTGGACACGCAAGATGACATCCCCAAACTTAAATAGCTAATAAATGCTACAGCCAGACTCCAGTCCAAGCCCTATGACTCCACCTGCCTCCTATTATGCTCAAGTGCCCCCAAGCACCAAGGAAGGAGCTAATAGATTTTATATAAAGAAGTCAGGGAAGGTGTCGCCGAGGAGGAGACTTTGAACTGGGTTTTGATAGATGGGTAAAAGTTTGCAGAAGTAAAGAGAACAGAAAAGACATCCCAGTAATGACGCTAATTATGGCATTAAATGATACATTTTAGGAGGCTGGCTTGTCAGGGCAAGAAAACATGGAGACCAAAAGGCAGGAGGATGATGGAGTGAGTGATGGCCAAGTGACACAGGCCCTGTGTATCTGACAGAGTGCTGGAATCTGATCCTAAAGGTCATGCAGAGCCTTTAGGGGACTTTGAGCTAGGTAGGGACCCTCCTTCCTTCCCTTCCTCATAGTGCTCAGCCACCTGGACACCAGGGCTGTATGCTTGAAGCCCTGAACCCTATGTGCCGGCCCCCGACCCAGCCTCCCCGAGTCTTCCATCTCCCAGCCCCTCTCCCTCACTGAACCTCTGTGCTCTGTGTCCCACAGGGGCCGTGAGGGCCTCAAGTATCTTCCCAATCCTGAGTGTGATCCTGCTCTTTATGGGTGGCCTCTGCATCGCAGCAAGCGAGTTTTACAAGACACGCCACAACATCATCCTGAGCGCTGGCATCTTCTTCGTGTCTGCAGGTAAGGCAGGGGTGTGTGTGCATCAAGAGGATGGGGGTATGGTGTCTCCTGCTCTGGCTATAGGCTGTGTCCCAGGTGAAGGTTCGACTGAGGCTCCAGTGCTTAGACCCCCACACAGACCCAATGCCACATCTTCCTCCTTGAGGAAAAGGCTGACGCCCTGGTGACTTCCAGGGCATCAGGCCAACCCCACTTGCCCTCTGACCTACCAACACATGCAAACTGAGGAAGAGGCAGATAGAAAAGTACCAAGGGACCTTACCCTTCCCCAATCTGTCCCATATGGTATCCGGCTGCACCCTGAAATCCAAGGAAGACTGCTCCTGCCCCGTATCATCCAGCCGGTAGAGCAGGCAGGCCTTACAGTCAGATATCTTAGGAGTTACATGACCTATCACAAGGGCCTCAGATGCCCAGGGAGCAACAAGAACTGTATCATAAGCCATTTAGTAGGGCTGGTTGCCACCTAAGAGCACTGGCCATGTTCCCAGTGCCTTCTCTTTCAAGAACATTCACTTGTGTTCCTTCATCGAGCCTTCTCTGGGTCTTGCAGGAGTAAGGCCTGGCCTTAGCCCCTATTTGCTGATTGGGAAACTCTGACCATGGCCACTGCGTCCAAAGGCTTCCGGGCCCCCCTTGCCTTTCCAGCTGCAGATTGAACACAGAAGGAGCTTAACTAACCCCTCCGTGCTCCATCTCGTGCTCTATCTCGCCATCTGCAGCCTGTTTGGGGAGCACTGGATAGGGAAAGCAATTGTGAGTACTCAGTTAACAGTACCTATTGCTATCACTACACCATGCTTCACAGGATGCCAACACCGGTCCCTCCCCTTGTTGCTTGATAAGATATTAAGACGGGGCCAGCAAGATGGCTCAGTGGGTAAAGAAGCTTTCCACCAAGCCTAATGACCTGAGTTTCATTCCTGGGACTCACAAAAGAAGGAGAGAACCAACTCCCAAAAGGTGTCGGACCCCCCCACACCCAGGCCATGGTCCACTCCTACCGAAATAAATAAAGTTTAAAACTTGAGAAAGTAATAGGAAGATTCGAGGTGTACCGTCCCCAAGTCCATCTCTGCATGGAAGTTCAAGATCAAGCCCCACACCCCACCGCATCACCCACTACCCACCACCCACTCCGCACCCTGCCTCTCCTTCCCGTAGCATCTCAGGCTCTTCTCTCTTCCCCTCCAGGCCTGAGTAACATCATTGGGATCATCGTGTATATATCAGCCAATGCTGGAGACCCCTCCAAGAGTGACTCCAAAAAGAACAGCTACTCCTACGGCTGGTCCTTCTACTTCGGGGCCCTGTCCTTCATCATCGCCGAGATGGTCGGGGTGCTGGCCGTGCACATGTTTATCGACCGCCACAAACAGCTGCGGGCCACGGCCCGTGCCACCGACTACCTCCAGGCCTCTGCCATCACCCGCATCCCCAGCTACCGCTACCGCTACCAGCGCCGCAGCCGTTCCAGCTCGCGTTCCACCGAGCCCTCTCACTCCAGGGACGCCTCGCCCGTGGGCGTGAAGGGCTTCAACACCCTGCCGTCCACGGAGATCTCCATGTACACCCTCAGTAGGGACCCCCTGAAGGCTGCCACCACGCCCACCACCACGTACAACTCGGACAGGGATAACAGCTTTCTCCAGGTCCACAACTGTATCCAGAAGGACAGCAAGGACTCTCTCCACGCCAACACAGCCAACCGCCGGACCACTCCCGTATGAAGACGGTGGAACCGGGGGACCTGGGAGGCTTGGCCCGCGGGCGGGGGAGGGACCGCAGCAGCCACGGGGAAGACCTTCCACACGCAAAAAAAACAAACAAACAAGCAAACAAACAAAAAAACAAAAAACAACAAAAAAAGAGAAAAACATAGCAAGTAAATTTTAAAAAAAGAACAAAATACAAGAGGAACAAAATCAAAACCACAGGCTATGCGGGGAAAATATAACCGAGGGAAAACAAACTTTAAACAAAGCAAGAGGGATAAAATTAAAATAGAAAATAAATCTAAAAGAAAATGCATGATTTCCCATGTACCATTATTTTAACATTTAATAAAAACCAATTTAAATGAAAAAATAAAAGGGAACCAAGATAATGTAAAGCAAAAAAAAAAAAAAGACAAAAAAAATGAAAGCAAGAGAGTATTTATTAGGGTTTTATGTTGCCTTTGTTTTTAATTTTGTTTTGTTTTAACTGCAGGGAGAGTTTAAAAATAAAAACACATTCTTTTCCCTTTAACCCCAGAGGAACCTGCCTCCCGGGGAGAGTAAGGGTAGAGACTCAGGGCCCCCAAGGCCAGGGGAGCAATGGTCACTGCCAAGCCCCTGGATCCCTGGCAGGGCCCTGGGATGCTGGGGAAGTCCAAAGGCTCTGCAGCCAGCTCTACCCAGCACCAATAGGGCAGTCGCAGGCCTCCAGGTGACCCAAGCCCTTGGTCCGCCCTTGTCCGTTAGGTGCCTGGAGGTGGTGCACTTGGGGCCACCCAGCCCCAGGTCCCCAGTCCTTAATGGTCCTTAACCCACTGTGATGACTTCCTAGGCCTTGAGGAAGGAGAAGGGATGACTGCTTGCCGCTCATGGAGAAGCCAGATCCCTGGAATCCTCAGGGGGAGCGTCTGGGGGTCAGTAACCCCAGTTCCTGTCCTTGGGGGCAGGAAATACCAACCCCCAGGTGATACAGAGCAGCCGTCCCTCCTCACCCCTCACCTCAGGGTCACTAGATGACTCTGGGGCGATGGTGGACCCCCACACTCACAGGCCCCCAGTCCCCTGGGAAGGGGGCTCTTTGACCCTTTGGGGGTCTGTGGACTCACTGATGCCCCTCTGGGGACTCAGTGAGTCCAACAACGACATTGCAAAAAGGTTTCTTTTTACAAAAGAAAAAGGAAAAACAAGTGGTGATTTTTTTTAATAAAAAAACCACAGACTATAAATAAATGTAAATATATAATAAGTGAATTTACTTGCAAGAAAATCAAGTAGTATTTTTTCTTTTAATTCTTTTCCAGCTTTAAACTGTGAAAACAAAAATCGGGGTGGGGTGGGGACTTAAAATTTAGCAGGGAACTTGTAAAGTCAAAACAGAAAACAAATATAGAAATCCATTAAAACAAACAAGTAAAACCCATTGGGAGAGATGTGAGCTGGGCACAGAGCCAGAGAGAAAGGAGAAAGGGCCTTCCATCTTCCTGGGGACTGCAGAAGAGGTCTCTCTTCTTACCTGCAGGGAGGTGCTGCTGATGGAGAAAGGAGACAACCCCCACCCTGCTTCCACCCACAGCCACACCCACAGCTCCCTAGGCTCAGTGCTGCAGCAACCACTCATGTTCACACTCAGTGGAAACCCTTCCCATCCAACACACAGTCAGAGGTGTGGCTCAAGGGAGCAGACCTGTGCCCTCCAAAGCCATGGAAACTAGCTCAACAACTCCATCACTGGCCTTTGTGCTCCTGTGTGCCCCCACACACACACTGTACCTTGCCTACACGTGAACACACTCAAACACATGAGCACACCACGTTCTCGTTCATGGAAGGGCTCCCATCCGTATTCTAGACTTCATTGCTGTGTGGCCTCTCTAGACCTTGGTGTCTCACTGTCAGCTCATGGACAGACTGGCTTGGACTCCAAAGGTCCACTCTTAATTTGCATGTGACTTTTAAGATCTGCCACCAGCCCAATCTAGTGGAAAATGGCCAGAAACACTCAAAGCAGTTCTGATGGCATTGAGAGCATTCCTAAATCTCTCTCAATCTCTCTCTGTGTCTCTGTCTCTGTCTCCACACACACACACACACACACACACACACACACACACACCATGTGCCTCCTCACTGTGTTCCCCGGCCCCCACCCCCACATCCAGTATCAAAGCAAAAATTCACATATGTGAGCAACCTATCCTGCCATGAAGACGGGGAGACGCACTGCCCCCCAAAGCTCCTCATTTATCTTCCCTTTTTGAATGTTATAACCCCAGTCATAGTGAGTGGGGGAAGCTTCTTTGAAAGATGGGTCCCCTGCTGTCTCTGGGGTCAGTGAAAAAGCAGGTGTTCTGGGGTGAAAGATCTCCCTGTGTGGAAATTAATGTTTGCAGACCACTCCCAGGCAAGTGTCAGCCCAGATAGGCTTACACCCCAGAGTGGATTGAGGGAGCACTCAGGTTTCCCCTTCTCCTTCCCCAAAATGGTAAGGGCCAGATCAGACAATAAGAACCAGGCTAACCATTTCCTAGCAGCCTCAGTGAGAGATTACCCTCCACCCTGAGTAAGAAAGGGCCCTGATCAAAAATCAACCAGCCTCCTGCTTGACTTTGCTGTCCTGACACTGGCCTCTGCTCTGAGAGGTCTCTAATGGAACTCTCTGGAATTGGAGGGCATGCTGTGGAAGACTTCTATAGCTTCCTGACTTGTGTCTGGAAGAGGAGCATTCTCCTCCCATGTCCACACAAGACAGACCACCTGCTAGTCCAGCCCAGAAGTTCAGGGGAGACCTCAGGCCCCATGACTCAGATATGTGGGCCAGTTAACATGCAGGGAGGTCAGAGCAGTTTCCAAACTGGGCAAAAACAGCATCTTATCCCTCCTCATTCAGCCCTGCCCAAGCCCCAGCAGATTCCAGACCACCCCAGATCAAGGCTTAAAGACAAAGGAAAGGGCCATACAAGTAAGCGCCTCTCTCTGGAGAAACTGTGGCCCCAGCTCCCTGAGCTCTGGCCAAGTATTTGAGCAGCAATCAAACTTCTTCCCAGTGAGACCTGGAGTCAGGCCACAAAGAAGACTTGTGGGTGAAAGGTAACATCAGCACAGCTGACCAAGAAAGGGCGAGGGGGCCTGGAGGGATGGGGCAATGCTCTCTGTGATGACAGACAGCTCATACCCAGCTCTGATCAATTCAAGAAACCAATTTCCGTTTTATTTTCTTGGTGGGTCATTTTTTTTTCCAGACTGTTAACAGAAAAAAAAATTTTAAAAAGAAGAAACCTAAAAACAAAACAACAAAAAACAAAATCCTGGTACATGAAATAAAGATTCTTTTTTATAGCTTGGTCCTCACTTCCATGAATTCCTTTAATTGCTTGCCCAACTCCTGGCACCCCATTTAAAGCAGCTCTCAGAGTTGCTGTGAACTCTCAGAGTTGAGGGGTAGTAGACTTAGATGGCATGTGTAAGGTGTCCCAACTTCCAAAGACAAGAATCCCCTCTCTTCAGCATTCCTTAGTGACAATTGCATGCCTCCTGTGATAGGGGCCTTGGCCCCTCAAAAGGTGGCAGAGGCCAGTGCCAAGCAGCTTTGTGGCAAGTCCCTGGTGTCACGGTCCATCCATTCACTTCACACTCCAGCAACACTGGTCCTTTCCAACGTAACTGTGCCCCTATCTTTGAAAGCAGAGCTTATACCATCCTTGAGTTCTCCCCTTGCAACAAACCAGCCCCCACTTCCCCCTTGTATGTGAAGCCTGGAACAGACACAATGCTGGGGTATGCTCTGAAGGCTTCTTATGGATGAGACTCTTTGGAGGCTGCCACAAGAATAGGGAGGGTCTTGTAGGAGACTCTCAGCTTGACAAAGTGGAAAAACTAACAGGGAAAAATGACCCAAAGGATTTGATCTTGACCTTGGAGAGAGGCCCTATATGATGGGCGAAGAACAGAGCCATTGTCCAGCCCTGGCTAGTCAAGTCACAGAAGGAGGGCCTTTAACACCTCTAAATGTGACTTGAATGCTTCATTTGGTTCACTTCTCACTTTAAAATCTGTGATGTCAGACAGGTTTAGAAGAAATCAGAGGTTTCTTATCAAATCAAGACTTAGAAAGTAAACCAAAAAATACTCATTGCTACACAATTGGAGTTTGGGGGCGTTCTTTAGCCATATCCCTTTTACCCAGTCCTGTGGACCAAACACATCTCGATCAAGTAAGCTATCTCCCAGCCTGATCACCAATTTGACCCACCTGCCTGTCACCTTTTGCTCTTGATCTTGAGGCCAGATGGATGTGCCATGGATACAGTGATGAAAAGGAAAACAGAGCCATGTTGGTTTGTGGTGGAGCTATTAGTTTGCCAGCCAGAGCTTCAGCTATCTCACTGACAGACACATGAACACTCCTTTGCTAACATGGATGGCATTGACCGGCCTATTTTATTAGCATTATTGGAAGGGGGGACACATACCATAAGCCCAGCCTTTACATGGTTCTGGGGATTCAAACTCAGGTTTTCATGGTTGTGTTTTACCCACTGTTTACCTGTGGCCAGCGTTTTACCCACTGAACCATCTCTCAAGCCCCACCTGGTTATTTCAATATTATCATTTAGAAAGACAAGACAAGGCAGGGGAAGAGGATAGAAGTCACAGTAGACCAGCCACAGTCCATCACCCAACTCTGGGGATTATATGGCTCCAGATGCTACAGCCCCAATGTTGATACGAATAGGGGCTTGCTCAACTCAGCCCCTAGAAGACACATTGTCAAGTCCCACCCCCCATAAATCCCAGGCTCATTGGGGTTCACCCTCAATGAGCATGGGACCCAAGGCAGGCTCACCAAAGAAGGCTCAGGTATCATAAACCAAATGCCAAGAGCTACGAATTAAACTGAGAACCTAGCAACATATTCTTTCCTGTCCTCACCACACTTCTTTGTGGCAAGGGAAACTCAAGGTTCATTTGGAGAATTCTTACCCTCCCAGGTCCTGTGCCTTAGTAACAGCAGG